GATTATATGCTGCATCCATTAAATTTTTTACATCAATACCTGAATGACGACTAATTGAACGCCAACATAAACGTGGAAGTAAATATAATAAAGCTTGTATAAGTAAAATAAATGGCACAAATTGATAATATCGTAATACATAACGTTTTTCATTAGATCGTTGTATACTCGGTTCACTTATATTAATATGATAAGTCTAAGAAAAAGCTTTAATAAGTTTTTACTGAAAGAAAAAAAAAAGAATTCTTTTTTCTTACATTATGAATCCAACAGTAATTAGATACATAAATTTCATAATTTCGTGTAAATATAGCTGGTACCCAACTAAAAACAACAAATTTTTAATTTTTTTTTAATTAAATAAATAAATTTTTTTGAATTCATACCATTGAATATGATCATTTGAAAATTGTTTACTAGCAACAACAATTGAAAAAAATATTAATAAACCAACTGTATATTTATAATTTAAACGATCAGCAAAATCATCATCACGTCGAATACCAAAATAACTTATTTGAGGTAAACGATGAAAAGCATTAAGAAGATCCATTCCTTTTTTTTATTATTAATTAAGTGATAGAAGATTGTTTTTTTGCTTCTTTCTCGTTCACTGTTATCAACAAACTAATCGGACAAAATCAATCATTTGTTAAGTACTGATGAAAAGAATGACTGCTTTCTTTTTTCTTTCTCTCACTCTTCGACTTACTTCTTCCGGAAGGAATCAATGACTGTGCATCGAGTGATAATAATAAGAATAGCAAGTACGTATGTTATTTGGCCAAAAGCATCGATAGTTGAGGTTATACCAACTATGCATATATTGTACTATTTTCTTAGTATTCTGTTTCTGTCTCTTCCTCATTTACTACATCAGTAGAACTGTCTCTCATATGCATGAAACAGATAAATAAATCCATCTGTACAGTATCAGCAATTATAGATTCTTCTATACTTTTCCTTTCTTTTTTTCTTTCTTTTTCTTGTGATTATAACTATGAGTAGACAGGCATCAGTAAGAGCAACAACTTATCATCATTTCTTCTGTTTCTGTCCTTATGATCTATGATTGGCATGTATGAGAAAAAAAACCAGAACGTTTATTTCAACATAGACTTGACGACTAATTAACGAAGATGTTTTCCAAATTGAAATAAGTGGACTTTTCATATAAGAATCATCAAGATATTATTGATGCATGTAGCCGTAAGCATTAATCCTATACACATTACGTTACATTGGTAAAATAACATCGGTTGTTCGGGTGGGCAAATAAATTGACATATAAGGACCTGATGATGTTTCAGATGCTTGTCTTAGTGATTGATGAGAAGGGTGACGTTGACGTTATGAAGGGCTCTAGAAAAAAAACTACATAATGCACAAAAACATACTTTTATTGTTTTATCAAACTGAATTGTATAAATATTTATGCGTTAAACAAGCTGCACCAAGAGCAACTACCACAATTTCTCCATCAGTGATTATATTTGTTCTCAACAAAAATAAAAAACTATACCTCTTGTTTTTGTTTTACTTTCAACATTCAAGGTCAAACTTATTTTCATCCTACCTAAAATATTTGTGTATACATGAATAGACAATTATTCATTTGAGACAAAAAAAACATGGCATTATTAAGAAGTAGAAGTTTTCTTTTCGTGATAAATATACGTAGATATGAATATAGTATATTTGAAGAATAAAAATAAAAAAAAAACCATTTGTACATTCAAAAAAGTTCTCTTTGATCTACTGACTCACTTATTTCATGTCAAAAAAAAAATCAAACTATATTTGTCAAAAAAAAATTAACATTAATATACGCAAAAAAGAAAGTTTATGAAATTTCTTGAATTATAATATTTCAATGCCATTGTGATTTGTCTATTGATAATAATGATTAACCAGAGTCTAAAATAAATTCAAATAAAAGAAAAAGAAAAAAATTTGCTGAAATACGTACATATTTCACATAAACGACCAGTTCGACCTTGTTTACAATGACATTTTGCTGTCGAACCAACATAAACACATATGCCATCAGCTTGACAATTAAGTGGACAATATTTTTCTTTAAGTGATCGTTCAACTAAAAATATAGAATAGAATTTAAATTTCTTTATGAATTTATTCAACAAAAAGCAAGGAAAAACTTACTTCGTTCACATAAAACACCAGATGTACCCTGTTTACAAACACATTGTGAACCGACACTTGTTGTTACACATTTACCATCATTCATACATGGATTTTTTGGTGAACATGATTTTGGTCGATTAACTAATTTGAATAAAAAACGAAGTCAAATTAAATTTCAAACTGAAACAATAAAAAAAAAAAAAGTATTACCATATTCGCATCTTGGTCCATAATATTCATTTGGACATGAGCATTGAGCTTTACCACCTTGTTGTTCATCTATATAACATTGACCACCATTAAGACATGTTTTATCACATTTTTTTGACATTAATGATCGAGCACTAAGTCCTAAATATTTCCAATAATAAATATATTTTTATTCAATTTGTAACATACTAAATTGACAATAATATCCTTGATAACTATCAGGACAAAAACATCTTGCTGCTCTATTTTGAACAGCGCATCCACCCATATTTTGACTATACATTAAAAAAAAATATATATACATATACAGAAAATCCTTTTCAACTCAATCAAAAAAAATGAAACAAACCATGGATTTGGTACACATGGGTTTGTTACAATAACCATGGGACATGGCGTTATAATACATGCACAACTACCACCACATGGTGCACGTGTAGCAACAGTTGTTGTTGTTGTAGTTGTTGTTGTTGTAGTTATCACTAAAAGAAAAAATAACATAGTAGATGAAAAAAAAACATCAGCAAAAGTAACTTACTTTGTTGACAGTTAGTACCAGTGTATGGAAATGTGCATGAACATATGTAACCAGTTGTTGTTTGAGTGCAAAGACCGTTATTACAACAGGGATTAGGCATACAATAATTACGAGATTCACATCGCATACCATAAAAGCCACTTGGACATTGACAAACAAATGCTGTAAAACAAAAATTCTTATTTGTTTTTATCTATAAACTAAGAACGAACTTACAATTGCCTGCTGGCATACATTGACCACCATTTTGACAAGGTGATTGAGCACATGGATTAAATGGTGTTGTTGTGGTTACACGATTTTCACAACAAAAACCAGTAAATGTTGATGGACATTGACAATAAAATGATGTACCCTGTGGTACACATGTGCCTCCATTCTGACAAGGATTTGGTTGACAAGGTGTAGGAACTAATTAAAAAATATTGCAAGAAATAAATAAAAAAATCACAAAAAGAAATTCTTCAAATAATATACCTGGTGCTTCACAACGATTACCAGTAAATGTTTCTGGGCAATTACAAATAAATCCTTGTCCTACTGGAGCACATTGACCACCATTGAAACCTAATTAAGATAATTTGTTTTGTTGTTTTATTTAGAATATATGAAAATTTTAATTACTTACATGGATTATCAGCACAGGGATTTCGTGGTTGAACTAAACATGAAAATAAACAGGTTTATTTTCTTTTTCTCAAATGAAAATATACATTCATACCTGTTGTTGTTGCTGTTGTTACTGGTGGACATTGAGTGTTACCACAAAAACATTGAATTGTATTAACAACAATACCACAAAGACCAGTACTACAAAATGAACATCGATATTGTCTTGGTGTAGCTATTGGTCCAAATGCTCGTGCTTCAACTAATGTTTGACCAACAGGAATATCATTAAGCGCATTGATATCAGCGTCATATGTAATCATGTCATTATCTATATCTATTTTTATATTTTTGTTTTGAATATTAGTTAATGAAAAAAAAACAAGAAAATAATTACCGAGTTTACGTTGTTGTTTAACTTTTTTACATCCTTCAACTTGTTCTATCCATACACATGTTTTAAGTGAATCTTCCCATGCTGTACCAGGAGCACATGTAAATCGAATACGCAAATTTTGAAAGCATCGAATAAATTTTGTACAGCTTTCTTCATCAGCTGAGAAATCTTGACATGCTTCTAGAAAATATGAAAAAGAAATATTAATTTATTTTTTCTAATGTATATTCTTTTATATTAACTTACTTTGACCAATAACACTAATGAATAATGTAGCAAGTGTAGAAAGAATAATATATTGATGTAAGAATAGCATTGTTCGTTTTCGTGTGTTCGAAAAATGAAATGATAATGCAATGGGAATAATCGAAGAAACACATCCCTTTTTAAAGCACAAGAAATCTATGAGTTTCTCAGTAAAGATGAATGCGTGGTAGTGAGGTTAGTCATGTGTATGTACTCGTATGTTTTAAGTTTAACACCACGCAAAGATCATCCTTATCTGCACGTTTTTTGTTGCGGTTGGATTTTAGTCAGACGATGTGGGCGATACAGTAATCTTCTTGTTGCCTATTTTTATGTTTTTTTTATTTCTTGACAAAAAGTATAATCAGAGGACAAAGATGAGGGACGAATGTGAATATATGTGTGGGTCGTTCGTTGATATTTAATTTAGAAGAATATTGATTCACTGATAATCCTTTCCTTTTTTTGTTTAGTGCTTTGTCACATTATGACCGAGATAAAGAATAAAAATAAATACATGAATGCATAACAAAGTTTATTTTCAAAACAATAACAACACGTAGGTTTGATTTGCACAATTAACTACAATCCGTTTTCTTTCTCTTTTTTCTTTTCTACTGTCAAATCAATCTTCTTAATTAACTTAAACGTTATACTTTATCTAATTTGTTTGTTTTTTTTTTTTTTTTTGGTATGAATATTATCTTTGAAAAAAGAAAAACGAAAAAAAAATGAAAACTATGTTCGCAAATTTGGATAAATCGATCTATGTATATAAACTAAAATTTATTTTCATGATGAGTAAACAAATTCAATACAACAAATATAATGTTGAAACGAGATATGAAAATTCTTATGATTTTACTTATTCTTGTGGGATTTACATTGAGTTTGATTATATTTGTAAGTTTATTCTATAATCCTACTCAATTTAATACAGATGATTTTCAAGATGATATTATTCCTCAACATTATAACCTTGAATTTATTGATCATGTAGATTATTTGATTTGTCATATGAAAATTTTTTTTCAACTTACACAAAATCGTTATCAATTTTCAATTATTAAATCAATTGATCATACGATTGAAATATCTTCAATTATTCTTCATCATAAAGAAATTTCAATACCCATTGATATTCAAATTAAAACTAATCAAATTATAATAGAAAAAAAACGTCAATGGAAAAAAGTTTTTTATTCAGGAAATTATACAATATCAATTAGTACTCGTATAATTATATTAAATACAATAAAATCAAATTTTATTCGTCAAATATGGTCATCAAAATATCGTATTTTATTTACTAAAAATCATTTATTTCCTTATTTTATTCATTCATATTATAGATCAACATTTAATATAAATATAATTAGTTCTGATTATATTATTTCTAATTTACCTCTGAATCAAATAAGTTCATTATATGAAACTTCACAAGTTGCTTTTGCTTTATTACATCAATATGAATGTCGTTCTATTGATATAGTTCAATTATGTTTTCCAATTAATTCATCATATGATATTGATTTATTTTCTCATATATTTAATTATACATTGAATACAATACAAATATTTGAATCTTATTTTTCTCGAAGATTTCCATTAAATAAACTAACATTAATTACTATTTTAGAATTAAATAATCAAATTATTTCTAAACCGGGTTTGGTATTTATTGATCAAAATGTTTTATTAATTAATACATCAGTTGAACAAATTATTCAACAACGTGAATTAATTTTTTTAATAGTAGCTTATCAATGGATTGATTTATTAATTCAATTTGATAAAGATACAAAATGGTTTGGTCAAAGTTTAGCAAGAAGTATTGTCAGTCATTTATTTCATAAAACTTATGATACAATTGGAAATAATAATTCACAAATTGAACGATTTATGTCCACTGTTGTACTTGATTCATTGTGTAATGATAAATTAATTGAAGAATCAAATGATGTCAAGTAAGAAATTTTAATTATAGAATTTAAAGTTTTTTCATATTTTTATTTTTCTTTGTTATCAAAAAATTGATTGTAGTTTTTCAAAATATATATAATGAAACTCAATTTACTATTTCAGATTAGTGAAAAGAAAGTAGATCATACAGATTTTATATCGACTTCGAGAGATTTTCTTTTCTCTTATAACAAAAGAAGCATTCTCAAATTTTCACTCATTTTTTCTCGTTTGTAAAGTAATAGAACCGGATTTTTCTTTCATAATTACAAGCAATCCTTACTACTTAATTATTGTGTTTAACTGTAATATTAGACTATGCATAGAATTTCACGTTTATTGCCTATAAAGTTTTTTGGCTTATTTTTGTATTACTTCTTGATGTTTCTAACAAAAACGAAACATGAAAGTATAGATTGTAACGCTTCTTATAAGAAACTAAAATTTTAGGAAATAAATAAATGTCGAGAAGCATTTTTCCATATGATGAATGCAACTTTACCTTATCAGTTGATAATAAATAAACAACAGAAAAAAGTTTCGAGTAATCTACAGAACTAAAAATCAATTTCTATTATATATATATATATGTATATGTATATGTCTAGATCCGAAAATATTCTAATCGAAAAAGGTGAAGCATTTTTAACTGAATATCGATTATATATTGGTGATATTCAATTTTATTCACGAATACAACAATTAATTCAACATTCAAATGATTCTTTTCTCAATCAATCAATTTTATCATCAGTTTTCTTTACAAATTCATCGTCATTTTTAGTTTGTTCAAAACGTTCTGGTCATCCAATAGTTTTCTATAATTCATCAACAATTGATATGTATCTATTTAAATTTAATCCCAATTGTTCTTTAACAATTTCATCAATTCATCCAATGGTTTATCATCTTCTTAATGATTCTTCTTCTTCATTAATAAACTCTTTTGATATATTTTCAAATTCTTCATCAATTTTAATTTCATTAAATCCATTTATACATATTTTTTATCCATCATGGAATCATGTCATAGATGAAATAAAAATCTTTCGTCATCAACAACTAAATACATTTTCTAAACTTCTATTCGATAGTTTTTTATTTAATCTTGCCAATAAAATATCTATTAAATATTCATTACAATTAATAAATTTATTTTTTCAACAATCATTAACAAAGAGTGATTTATTGATTATAAGTAAAATTGTTAAATGGTATCGATCAATGTTATCAAAATTACTTGAAGAAAAATTTCTTATTTTTCTTCGAAAAATACTTAATCCATTTTGTTTAAATCAATTATGGACACGACAAATATTAATTGATATAAAATATTCGAATCAACAAATTATAAATGATATTCTTTTAGAATTATGTTGTTCAATTAATCATTCAATCTGTTTACAACAAATATCAAATAGAAATGATCCACAAATACTTATACAATTTATTGTTAATAATCAACGATTCGGTTTAGATTTACCTTCAACAAATTCAATAATTTACCAAAATCAAACTGATATGTTAACAAGTTTTAACCAACTACAAATGCCATCATTATTTATATATCCAGATCGAATAATTATGAATATTATTTGCCAAGTAGTTCGACAACAAAATGATAAATATTGGTATGATCTAATTCATTTCATTCAACAAAAATTTCAATATCAACTTATTCCATCAGCTATTATAACTGGTTTATCTTGTGCTATTCAAACAATGGAACAGATTGAATTTTATTTAAATAATTTATGTCCGCCATCGCCATTTAAATGGCCATGTTATCGAAATATCCTTGCATATTCATCAATCAAAAACTTCGAACAACTAAAAACAATTGACAATGAACAATGGCCAACAAATAATGATGAACTTATCGATTTTTTATTTCATACAAGTTCTATACAAGGAAATTTTAGTTCTCATCCGATGATTCTTGAATTTCAATCATTAATTTTCACATGGTTAACTACTAATCAATATGAAATTTTACATTGGCTTGACAATGAAAATAATCAAAATGCATATTTGATTTGACTTGACACATAATCAATGACTTTTTCTTTTCAAATACGGAAACGACTAGTGTGTTTAGAATAGTAGTAAATACATATGCTTAATTATATAGTCGGGTACACCGTTCTATTTGAGTAATAGCGACTGTAACAATTTTTTTCATCTATAATCAACGACGTTGACAGAACGGAAAACGAGGTTTTAGTACAAGCATTAGAATTGCTACTCTAAAATTCTTTTCGTGTTGTTTTCTTTTTATTCAACGAGAGCAAGCATGTCGACAGCGCCGCATTCTTTTGTCAACGATGGCAGCGAACGCACACATTTATATCAATGCGATAAAAGAAAAGAGACAGTCGACCGAGAAGAGGGTAAAAAAAAGCAAAAAAAAAGCAAAAAAAAGATAATTCAAAAAGGCACACTCCTAACACAAGGACACAAAATGAATAATGGCCATTCTTGTCTTTCATCTTTCTTCCATAGGGTGTTCTATGTGAGGTGCTGATGTGCATAGGTTACTAGTAAAAACAGAGTGTCACTTGATTTTCAAGTATGTATAACCGTTCATTCAATATGATAGATAAGAAGGTAAGAAATGCCTGAAGCTATCATCTTTTCTTTCTCAGAGCTCTACTGATCTCTCTTCATCACCATCTTGATTGCATCAATGCACATGCACGCACAGGAAATTTGCTACTATGATGATCTACTGTGTTTTTTCTTCTCTCTGTTCCTCTCTAAGCTGTTTTATGATCGAAGGGCATTTGTGTATACAAGGTCTATGTGCTGACGAGCATCATCTAATCTTGTTTATGTGTGCTCCTGAGAGCTTATAAAAAACAATATATTTATATATATATATATATGGGTATTATCAATTTTTTCTTTTAATTTTTTCTATATGTGTGTGATTGTCGTTCATTCTTTTTTTTTCCCTAAATAATTAAAAAAATTGGTTCTTCTATTGTCTTTTCTTATTCATGCAGATTAGGGCAACAAGAAAAAAGAAGACGACTGAGACATTCATAGAAGAATGCTTATTATATTTGTTAACTCGGATCGGGGTTGGGCTTATTCATTCAAGCAAATGAAATCGAAACCAGCCGATGAACAACCTAATTGGACGCCATATGAGTAGATAGAGAGAGAGAGAGAAAATGTAACATGACATTTTGACAGAAGTTCACTCATCATCATCAATGCCATACAAATATAGACGCAAGCTGTCTATTGATGGCCGTGATAGTTATAGTAATAGTACGTGTGTAGCAGCCGGTATACATCCTAATTACATGCGCGAAAGAAAAATGAGTGTGGCAGTCTATACGTTAATGGCAATAACTTGTTTTCTCGATCTTGAAGAAAAAGAAAACCGTCACATCGAACAGCAAGTATGTAAAAGCATTATCTCTTTTGTACAGTAACAAAGCAGTACGTAGATAGCTACTGCCTAGCTTATATTAATAACTCTCATTCTTATATAAAAAGAGAATGAGAAAGAGGAAAAAAGGAGAACCCATCTAACAGCAAAGAATAGAAAGAAGGAAATCGTTCCGACTTCTTCTTTCTTTAGCATCTCAATTACATCATGACAAAAGAAAAAACAGATGAATTGTGTTAGAGGAAAAAAAGACGACGAAAGAAAAAAAAAGGAAAAATCAGTATGTATTAGTTGACTCTTCAGATGTTGTATTGAATGAGAAAGATAAACACAATGATATCATCAAATGGTCATACATGTGATGGTGGTAATCGTACATTACGTTGGTCACAATTTTGTGATGGAATTATTGATTGTCATGACCGTTTTGATGAAGAAGGACATTTTTGTAGTAAGTTCAAACTAATTATATATTCATTCTTTTGTTTGAATCCTTGATTTTTACATAGAACTTTGTATCAATAATCTCTATTCTTGTCCGCCAGAAGATGACATACGATGTGATTTAGCTTGTAATATGCTTCATTATGTACCTTGTCAAACAATACAAGATCGTCGTGCATGTAATCGTATCCGACAAAATTGTAAATTTAATCAATTTTTCATGTAAAAAATAATTCTTGATCTTTTTCTTTTTCTTTTCTTAGACGACAATTTTTCACCGTATCAATTGCTCAAGAATTTTAATTTCTATATTGGTATGTTGATTTATTTTTATGTTGCAAATTTTCTAAACATCCTTTTTTTTCTAATTATTCAGCTGTTGCAATAGCTACTATTGTTATTCTTCTCGTTATTACCGGTATTGTCATATTGATCAAATATCTTATTCGTACACATCAACGACGAATAAATAGATCTTCAGCTAAAGTATGCACTTTTTTTTCTTTTGTATTTTTAATTTCTTTTTTTTTTTATTGTAGACATTAGATACTCCTACTGCTCCACCTTTACCGCCATCATATTTATCTATTCTACATCATAGAACAGAAACAGATACATTATCTAGTCATATCTATGAAGAATGTTATGCGCCACCTCCATATGAAAATGCTCATAAATATCCAATGATAAGAAATTATTATGAGCATGCATTATAATAACTCATATGGAAAACAAAAAGAATTAGTTTTTTATTTGTTGTTATAAAAGAATTCAGAATAGATGTATATCAGGAATCTAGAAATTCTTTTTCATCTATTCCAGTAAATATTCGAATCGCATGAATATTTGGTAATTGTTTATTAAGTGCTTCAGATACTAAACGATGTTGATTAACCATACGCATATTGGCAAATTCATTAGTTACGACCACTATTTCATAACTTGCACCACAACCAGCTAGAAAAAAAAACAAAATCATTGATGAAACCGAATTTTCATTTTTTTTAATTGTTATCTTTGATTATTAATTCTTTAAAATTACTTTAATGATATAGTCGAAATGAACTTTGCAATTATCGTTAATACCGAATATATGTTAGGATTATAGATATAATGGTTTATTTTTTTCCATGCAAAAGAATTATATGATTAGATTAGATGTATTTATAATAAGCTCTTTTGCGGTATGCTGTTCTATCTTGGTAAATGAGATTTTTTTATCTATAAATAAAATGATACATTTTTGTATTTCGATTAGTGGTTTTATCTAGCTTAGAATCGATCCTAGCACTTAAAACACTTTTGAGCATTAGCAAAAAAATTATTTTTGTTTTACTAAATTCGAAATAGCTGATTTATTTACATCTGAGCAAAATGTATAAATAGCGGATCTCCTCTAACTAACAAAATTCATATCAATTATTTAATTCTCATTTTAAAAAAATATCTATTGCAGTTACTAGAATATTCTTTTGGCCCAAATAGTCTTACAAACTTATCGTTCAATTAGATCCAATCGGTATATAACCTTGAAAAGAATATAGATCTTTGAATTCAATCCATCTTTATGGAATATTCTCTACAATTCAGTATGTAAAGTTTGCTTGTTTTTGATAAAATAAATCATATATTTACCTGACGTATCTTTAACATCAATAAGACGAGCATTTGGAAAACGTTTCTTTAAAACATCGCTTAATTTTGATTCATCTTCTGTCTTTGACGATGATGAAGATGATGCATTAATAGAACTATATCGAAATACATTTAAAGTATTTTGATTTCTAATCAAATTTGAAAGACGAAAACGATTAATAAATGTTAAACTCATCTAGAATATATTTTATCATATATATATATGCATAAGATAGAAATACTTTTATTTAGCTTTCCCCTCTCCCACAAAAAAAAGACAACAAATCAAAATGTACCCGATCACACTAAATATAGATATATATATATAGTGTATATACATATCCGTATATAAATAAAGAAAACTGACTAACAGGCAAAAGAAGAAAAAACAACAGCAACTTTCTTTCCTTATTTTTTGTTTGTTTTCTATACAAAGTTACACATACGCGAAAAATAGACTTTCATAGTGGAAACACTTAAACAATTCTGGTTAAGAAACAAGAAAAAAAAAACAACAAAAATTGATTTGTAGTTAAAATGAGCACTTTTATATTTATGTTGATTACTATTTTTCAAGTGCTATATATTCACATGATGTTATAATTTAGTCACTTGAACAAATGTAGCAGCAGATTGAATTGATGGGGATTGTGATGGATTTGTATTATTTTGAAGATGAACTTTGCTTGACAATTTTCCAAAACGTAATTCAATACATAATTCTTCAATACGTTCATTTTCATTATCAATATTTCGTTTAATTGCTTCGATTTTCGTCTAGAAAATAAAATTGAGATTAGAAAATATTTTCTATTAAAATAATTTTTTCTTCTTAAAAAGTAAACCAAAGACTTATCAGATACCTTTGTATTTAATTTACGAAGCGATTCAATTGACGAGGAAATATCCGCACATGTCAAATCGCTTTTCGACGAACCGATACTTATGAAATGAGTGTTAGATAATGATAGAAAAGTGTAGAATGGTTTAGTTTTTCGAGCCTTCATTCCCGAGATATCGAAATTTTGCTGAATATTTTAATAAAAAGCTGTGGTCCTATGGAAAATCGAGTTTTGACTTCAAACTTGTCATGAACAAAGTTCGCAATAAAACTCGTTGATTGTGCAACTAGTATTTTCTTTTTGGACATGTAAATTTGCTTTTACACATGAGAGAATTTCGAATATTCTATATCTCAGAATAGGCAATAATAGAAAAGTTACAATTTGTCCAATGAATTAATTTCTTGTGAGAACTTTGTTCATACAAAGTTTGAAGTGAAAAGTCTTTTCTCATTAATAAACTTATTTTGATAAATTTTCAAAGACAAAAAAATACATTGCTTGATGATTATTAATTAAACATTATTTAATACCTCTAATTGATTGTTGTGTTTAATTGTATTTAATAATTCTTGTAGAATATCTACAGTTTGATTTGATGATAAATCATTTTCTGATGTTATTGTCATTGTTGGAGTTATAGTAGATAAATCTGATGGTTTTTCATTCATTTGTTGTTCTAATTTTGTTAAATTTTCTTTTTCATTCATAAATAACTTATAAATTGTTTTTACTATTTACAAAACAAAATATATTTAATGAAAACAAAAAAAACAAAAGAAAATTTACATCGAGCAAGAAGACGAGCTTCAGTAATTTTTTCTCTTAATAATTCTTCTTCGACTATACCAGCATTATTCTCAACAATTTTTTGTATTTGTCCAAGTAATTCATCATCATCAGTTTCGACTCCACTTTGTTCACGTTGTCGAACAGGTTTTGGACTTATAGGAACAGTTGATACTTTAGGAATTTCATCATTTGATCCAGGTATTTGTTGACTTTTTGGTGTTTCCTCTCGTTTATTAACAATTAAAATAACTTCTGATTGATGAGATGAAGCTAAAAAAAGAGAAAATCAAGTAGTTTGTCTTTGAATAATTGATAGTAAATAATTACTTGATTCAGGAACTGATGTACCAGCAGCTGTTGATCCCGAATGTTCAAGAAATGATGAGAGACGATTTTGTTGTAAACGACGAGTTTCTTGTTTAATCTGTTAATAAGAAAAATCAAAAATAGAAGATAAGAATATAATGAATAATATTTCGTTACTAATTGAAATAGGAGTAAAATAATGTTCACTGAAAAATAAAATTAACTCATGTTATTCATTTCCGAGAGTGTATCCTAACGTTATACTATCCATTCTAGCATAGAAATATGTTCGAGACTTCCGATCAATGATCATCAATTATTATTCAAGGTTGTAAAAGCTAAACGATTCTCCATGAATCTCATACAACGACCTGGACCAAAAAGAAAACTTGATGCTTCAAATCTCTAGATATAACACATTTTATTGTTTTATTTTAGCTACAAATCCAAATGGACAATTTTTCTTGTCAACCATGGGATCAGAACATGTTTTATCAAACTCATTTGCTATTTTCTTTTTACTATTGAAATACCTTTCGTTTAAGTGCTGTAACAAGTCTTTGTTGAGCCCATAATTGTTCTTCTTTATCTTTATCAATATTTGTTGGTGTTGTTGTTCCATATGTTGATGAAGATGGTTGAGATTTTTGCATTTCTTCATGCATTTTATTTAACACGGCTTCTTGTTTAACTAATTCGGCTTCTAATTCTCTAAATAAATAAAAAATAAAAATCATTGATTGATTATTATTCGCTTTATATACGCTTACTCAATTGTTTCAGAAAGAAGTGAAGAACGTGAAACATTTTTAATTAATGATACTCTAAATGAACAAAAAAAAAATAATTATTGGAAAAAAAAAAGAGAATTTATAAAAAACCCTACCGAGATGTTTGTGGTCGTTCGAAAATATCTGTTGCATGTTGAATTAAATATTTAATAGTACGTTCTTTACTTTTAATTAATGTTGCTATCGTAACAGGTATAAATGATGATTCACTACTTTTTGATGATGTTTGAGTTGGTGACATTGTATGTGATTGATGTATTATATCATGAATATGTAAAAATAACAAACGAATTGTATCTCGATTTGATTTAGGAAGTTTTTGTATAAGATTTCGAATTTCAATAAATCGATTCGAATCAGGACCTAACAAAAAATCAATAGTTTTTGAAATATTCAACAAAAGAAAAAAAAAGACGTCTTGTTTTTTATTACCTGGATCGTTAATTGCTTTAAATATTGCACTATTTAATTCAGTTGGTATTAATTGTTCAGGTAATTCTTTAAGAAAACGTTTAAGTAAACTAACAGCAAATGCTGGTGTTAATGGTTGTTTTAAAGCACTCTCAAGATCAGCTGGTTGCTTTATTTTTACTGGTTCTTGCCGATAAACACTATCTTGTGGATGAGCTTTATATATATATATATATATATAAGAAATAAATAAATAAGACAAAGAAAAACAACAATATTCAAATATATACCTTGATCAATAATATTAATACAATCAACTAAAAATCGTGGTACAGAAAGATCATCATTTTGTAATGGATTATGTTTAGTTGCTTCTTCTAATGATAAACCCATTATAAGACGAAGTTGTTCAACTAAACCTAAAATAAATTTTTATAAAATAAAATCTTTTCGAATATGAATACATGAGAATTATCTTAACAATATAGTTTATAAATGAAAAACTTCATTCATAAGAACTTGTACATTTTTCTATCTATGAAAATGCCTTATGATAATCACGTTCTATGACTATAAGAATGCTTCATCTATTTGTAATTCTGATAATATTTCAAAGTAAGATTCTATTGAATAGAATAGAAGAAAAAAAAAGCTGCATGAAGTTCCGCTACGGAAGAAACATGTGACTTTTGTCCTCAGACTCGATGTATTCAAAGGTAAGTTGTCTACTTTATATTTTTATGAACTTTGATAAATTTTTCAAATACATAAGTATAAATAAAACTTCATCGACAAAAAGTCTAAACAGTACAACAAAACTTCGCGAACTGTTTATTGAAAGCACTTCGGTTTTTCGAAAGTTTTATTAAAAAGCAAAACAAACAAACAATCAAAGCTTTGATGAATTTCAGTCAACAACAGGAAGTCATTCTACCTTAGCCGTTCTGTCTGCTGTTCAAAGAGTACAAATCGGTACATTGAGTACAAGATATTCTAAGGGAAAATTTATATAAAGAAGATTTGACTATCTTTAATTTAAAAATTCATTTTGATTTTTCAATTAGACTAGGGATGTATAGTTTTAGCTTACTGACTGCCAACTCAGTGCACATTTTACATAAGTGTAGGATCGTAGCCAGAGAGAAAGGGCGCAAGGAGTACTTGTACACCTCTGTTGGCCAAGAAACACCTGGAAATGAGTACGAATAAAAAAACCTTTTCTGCAAACAAAAAATTATTATCAATGCTCCAGTGGATCGCGTGTTGGTAACTTGCTGTCAATCGTTACATCAACACTATACATTTCTCTATCAGATAAATATCCTATTAATTATAAAAATCAAGTAGATATAGATATCTATCATTTTAATCTCAGTGTATGGAATAAACTTTGACCTAGTATACTATGTTTTGTGACTCTATGGGCAAAAAGAAAACAATTTTTATTTTTTTCCTAGAGTTTTTTTTTGTAACTAACCAGCTGTACTTGCAACATTATCACGATTTGCTTTTGATTTTCGTTTTTCATCTTTTAAACCTAAAAGTAATCAATATAATACTTCAAGAAATTAATTCAAAAAAATATTTTACTTGATCGTCGTTCTTTTTGTTCTGATGGAATTTTAGTTTTTGTTTTAATTAATTTAAAGCCATTTTTTTTCTTTGGTCTTAAAAGACTTTTAAAATCTTGTGCAGTTGTTAAAGATTCTTCATTTGTTTCATTATTAATTAATAAAGTACTACTTTTTTCTTTAGATGCACTTGTTTTTGTTGAAAATAATTTTCGTTTACGATCACGTTCATCTTCACCTAAGAAATTATTCTTTTTTTTTGAAGAAAAAAAAATAATAGAATTCAATAACAAACCTTCTGCTGGATCACGATCATCTGGCAATCCACTCATATTTATCGAATAGAAAAATCTAAAAATAGAAACGTTCTTATTGAACTTATACATATATTGATTGATTCGATATAATAAAGGAAATTAAAAAGACTATAGATAGATGAAAAGTGTTACTATAAAATCAAGATAATATATTAGGATTATTTAGAAATAAAACTTATCAATTATTGACTATTAATAATTAATAAAAGCTGTTAGCAAACAATTCGTAAACAAGAGATATTTCTCGGTTAGGTAGCGCTAGATTCCAAGGAAAAAGCAAAAATTGTTATTATTGATGTATAACCAATTAAATAAAATGTCGCTGTTTGATATTTCAATAAAAATCTAGTTCATTCATGTTATTTATTTTAAAATTTTAATAGAAAAAACTTTTCTACAGATTTGTTTTTTTTATAAAAATAAATTTCTATAAAAAAAGGACAGTATTGACGAATGATAAGATTTTGATTGGTTTATTCAATGTTGGTTGGTTGTTGTACTTATTGATGTCCATGTTTTTTTTTCGTAAGAACTAAACTTCATCATCGATTCGTTCATTATTAACTATTCCAATTTCTTCTGTAAATCTTTATTCTTTTCCAAATAAAAATCGATTATACGTAAAATAATTTAAGATTTTTTTTTTACTTCTTTTTAATTGATTTCAATGGTATCTATAGTGCCAGACAAGACATAGTTTTATAAGGATATAAGAATTTATTGTTGAAGAGAGAAAAAAACATTGAAATTTCATTTTCAGATTATACGTCGACTAGTTCTCTTGTAACAACAAAATGGCAGCACGTGGTTCAGCACGCAATTCTCGATTAAATAAAAAACCAAAGAAAACCAAATTACGTGGTATGTTAATTCAAATTTTGTAAATAATTTTTCTACTTGAAAACAAAATTTAAGGTAATGTCTCACATGGTCATGGTCGTATTGGTAAACATCGTAAACATCCAGGTGGCCGTGGTAATGCTGGTGGTCTTCATCATCATCGTACATTATTCGATAAATATCATCCGGGTTATTTTGGTAAAGTCGGTCAACGTGAATTTCACAAACTTAAAAATCGTCGATGGTGTCCAACTGTTAATCTTGATCGTTTATGGTCATTATTAAGTCAACGTTCACAAGAAAAATATACTGAAGGAGAAGCTACTGTTTTACCTGTTGTTAATGTTGTACGATCAGGTTATTTTAAGGTGTTAGGCAAAGGTGTTTTACCTAAACAACCACTTATTATTAAGGCAAAATTTTTCTCAAGACGAGCTGAAGAAAAAATAAAAGCTGCCGGCGGTGCTTGTGTATTATTGGCATGAGACATTTAAATATCATTTGTCTCAATTAAAAGAAAAAAATAAAATAAATAAACTATCATCATCATTATCATCATTTTTCGTTTGTATTGCGATATTGTTGCTTCTTTAGTTTCTTTTTTTTGCCGATAAGCACATAAAAACAAACGAAAATTGAATATATATATACACCGTAAAAGTTGGTTCTTTGTTTTTTTTTCGTCATGAACATTTATATCAATTACTCGAATTAAATTCAAACTTGTCAACATATTTCTAAGATGTCGTAAGAGTTTATATTCAATGATTAATAATGAAAGAATGTGTTATTATAACTTAAGAGCATTGAACATATTCAGGTCAAATTAAAGGTCTCATCAGCAAAATAACAAACTTAAAATATAAGCTGCTTATAATATGCACGGATTGAGATGTTCGGATTGTGAGGTATTTATTGTGTGTAAAATGTGGCGACAATTGAAAATTTCACTAGGATTTATTTTTCTTTTTTTGTCATGATTGAATAAAGGTAATCGAAATTACAAAAGTATATTTCTCATATTGAAAAAATACATTTTACGAAAGTCAGAATTTCGGATCTATTTTTTCTTTTTTTTTTTGAAAATAATAAAGCCGTGTATGTTACTCTTAGAATATTTGCTTTTGTGCATTTTGAAACGTATTTGTTTTTATGTAACTTGACGAGTTGTACTCAACTATGACGAAAAAAGAAATCATAATAGAATTTTTGATAGCACATTACATACATTATAAATACTTTGCCGTTTGAATATTTCTGTCTGTACACATTATAAGGAGTTCATTAATTTAAATTTGTTAGTTTACCGATAAGATCTTTCATTTGACCCGTATAAATCTAATACCCTCGAGTTACATTACACATTCTTCCATTGTAAGTAATTAATTTTTAATTTGTTTTTTTTTTGAAAGAAAAATACAAGTGCTTTGATGAAAATAGAATACTTATTAAATATCATATTGAAATCCTTCAAACATTTTAACAAACTTAAATTAGCATACAAGTCTTGAATTTATCTTGACAAATTTCTCCTCAATAATTATGAATGTCATATGTGTCAATTAAAATTCTTAAGTTGAACAATATACTCAATCGATATTATTCAATTTACAATTAAATCTAAGTCGATTAGAAAAATCACATATACACACAAAAGAAATCCAATTTACTTTATAAAATCTTTCATTGCATTCGATTAAAGAAAGTTGTCTAAATAAATATCTAAAAAATGAATTCACTAATTCATAGAAATAATAAAAGCATAATGAGAAAAAAAGAAAATTTTCTAATATGAAAGCAAAAAAATGTGCTAAGTTTTTACATATATGAGAATTTTTAAGATTTATTAAATGAAAAAGAAAACCATTGCAACAACATATATTTCACTCGGTTGAAATAGAGATGATCAGAAAACAATAATATTTTCAGGCAATTACAAGAGCAATTTTCAAGAAAATCTTTCACGCATTCATGTATAAAATTACTTGACATACAAACTTCGTGTAATAGTACATCTCTTTATCGTTTAATCATTGACAAAAGTTGATGTTGTCTCTTTGAAGGTGTTATGTCATTGACAATAAAAGTATATATAATATGAACTATGTTAATTATTTGAACGTAGATAACTAACAATATTAAATAAGTGCATGACAAAAGAAATTAGTTCTATTCAAAATTTGTTTTCATCTTATTTCATACTTACAATTAAAAAGTCCTTTTTTTTATTAGATTTTTCAAAGTTTTACTGATTATAAGATGGTTGAGTAATTATTTCAAATATATAAGGCATTTATTTGTTTCTTAAAACATGAATACAGGAAAAGAAATACAACAAGTGAAGTTAATTTTTAACTTATTTCACAAAAACAATATTATTAATTAATTTAAACAAAATAGTTTTTTTTTTTTTTGCTTCTTCAAATTGATAAGATCGATAGCAAAAGAAGATGAAAGTTTAAAAGACCAGCGACAGATGACTTTATCACACAAGTATTATAAGAGAATAAAGTGAAAATTAATGATAAGTAAAACTTACAATAGAAAGAAAACAAAAACAAAGACACCGGTGTATGAGAAATAAAGAAATCTTGGAAACAAATACTTAGTCTATGAAGGGATCAAGGTATACAATAGAAAATAAAAACTCGTTTACTATTCTTTAAGAGAGGAGGAAAAAAATAAGAAATATATATATGTGTGTGTATGCGCTTTATGTGCGTTAGAGCAAATCATAAAAGGACATTTAGACGCGTCCAAGCGTAGTACATGACAAAAGCTATTTAATTGCACATCTAATAATAAGAAAGAAAAAGAAAATATTTTATGAAATTTCAAACTTTTATTCATTAGATGCTTTATAACGTTTATTTGATGAAGACATTTCCCCATTCATGTATCTTCCAGCTACACATTTAGTTGATGATTGTTGACTGTAATCAGGCTTATCATTTATTTTCGATGATGATGAAGATTTTCGTTGTTCAGTAATAGCTATTATTATATCACCACATACTAATTGACGACATTTTAAACCACATTGACGATGTGTTTGCTCAGGTGATATAGATGACCAACATGAATATTGATGAACAAAAAATGGTACTGCTTGTAAAACATAGCAAGAAGCCTGAAAAAAAAATTACATTTAATAATTATTTTGTTTTTTTCTTTGATTCATAATAATAAATTACTGTTTTTCCGATATCATCAATATAAAAACGTAATTCGACTCTACCGGTTGACTTATCAACCGAACCAATATAATCTACGCGTGCTAAAAGACTAAAAAAAATAAATATATTATGAAATATATGATGTTTTTGTTAAGAAACAATGAGTGAACCTTGAATATTGATGGCTTTGTTTTGCACTTTTTAAAAAATCATTTTTTGTTAATTGTTGAATATTTTTTAATTCACCTGTATCTAAATTAACTAGTGTATCCCGATGAAACTTTTTTAAAAGAATTTCATCATGTGTTTGTTGATGAGAAGAATTTTGTAATATATGTGGATAATATTGATGAAAAGAGTCATTCCGCGAGTAATAATCACTAGAAGAATTATCTGACAAATGATCAGTTGTTAATGTTGATGTTAAAAATCTATGATAATTCCATGTATGAAGTAGATCAGTATAATTTAATGAAGATGATGTTGATGAGGATGGTGATATAATGTCAGAATAAGAATAATGATTATTTGAGCTAGTACTAGTTGAAGTAAGAGGTGGACTTTTATAATATTTCGACGAAGCTAAACTAGGATTTGAACGATCAACAGCAAATGTTGCCGACGAGACAGTCATCTTACTAGCCATATTTGCTGTGGAAGAGTCCATGTATGTTTTCACTTATCGAACCACTTCGTATCGTTTGTTCCACGTACTAGTAAAACAAGAATAATTATATATGTGCCACAAATAGAACACTATTTATACATCATTAATATGAAAAATAGTCTTTCTTTTTTCTTTCGTTCTCTCTTATTATTATATTTACATTGATTATATTCTAAACTATTTCTCATTGAATCGAAAATTTGAATCGTTGACAAAATTCTATGTTGAATGAATACTATCAACTTGTAATGATGTAAGCGTACAAAAAAATTGGCCATCGTAAAGTACGTAACATAATGTCACTACTGTAGTTTATGATTGTTTGTGTCGATTGACAAGCAGATAGACAACGAAAAAAGATTGTTTTTGATGAGGACAAGAAAAGGGAAGGAATGCAAATAAGAAAGAAAGAAACTGAGAGAGAAACAAAACATACGTCCTGCTGTAGTCGTCAATATAATGATGATTCTCTAAAGAGAACATATGCATACAAAAACATGCACGATCAATAGAGCGTTCTACGAATCTTGATCATATAGAAGCTAGATGGTGCAAATTTTATCTTATCACAATTTCACTTATAATATAACTAGGTTAATTCAATCTTAGTAAGAACAAACACAAAAACAATTGAAGAAGACGAGTTATGTTGAAAAACTAAATAAACAGCAAAAGAAAAATAGAAGTCATCAAACTTGTTTCTTCATGGTTTTCTTATAAATTTAAGATCAATTGACTGTAGAAGATATGTTTTGTTTTTACCTTAAATTATTTTGAATAAAAAAAGTAAACAAAAAGCACGATATGTTCTATTTGCAATATATATATATATGTATATATAATACTAACAGCATCAACATTATTTATCGATTCTCTAATCTTTTGACCCACTCACCTTAGATTCTTTGACATTTATTTGCTATTTGTGATACTGACGATGGCAATTCGTAGCTATAGAGAAAAAGAGGAAAAGGCCGCCGATGTTGTCGTCGCCACAACTATCTACCCTCATATTTTCTTTTTCTCTCTCGTTTCTTGTTTTTTCTTCTCGTATTATTTTACGAAACCAAAAAAAGCACCGATGTACGAACACATTTAACCCTCCTTTTTCTCTTTGCGCATTGTAATGCATCAGCCGATCTTCAGTCTAGAGAGATGCTTGCTAATAGTACTTGAAGAACGTGACAGAAAAAAAAAGAGAAAGAGAAAAACATCAGCTGCAAAACAGATGAAAGTATGAAGAAGATCAGAAAAAAAAGCCTTTGTAAATTTATTAAAAATTAATAAACAGTATTTTAGTCAGGTAAAAGTTCAGCCGCGTCATCATTATCATCAAATAAACTTTTATTTGCTTCTTTTTTACGTATTGCAGTTTTTGGTCGTTCATCTCCTACATCTTGAGAAAAGTGATCAGTAAATGACGGAACAGTAACAGGTTCTAAATTTAGAAAAGAAAATATTTTTGCAAAAAAAACAAAATTAATAATAAAAAACCTTGTTGAGAGAATACTCCCTCTGTATGTTCTAGATCAATTGGAGTACGCTTACGACCACTTAATTGACGATTATCATCATGTTTTGAATTAGAACCTCAAATAAATAAATATATATATATATATAAATTTATTAACAAGATCAACAGAAATCATATTGGCTTATTTACCATCATTTTCAACTTGATAAATTTTTCGACCTTTTACAACACTACGACTTTTATCAGCACTTGTTTTACGCTAAAGAAAAAACATTTTCCTTATTTTTGATTTTTCTATATCAAGAATAAATTTAACACACTTGAAGTTGTATTTCTTTCATTTTATTAACTTTTTTTAATTCATTTTCATACACTTCACGTTCAGGTAAACCAAGATCAGTTGATATTTTAACCAAAAATTGTATGCCTATAATATTAGTTTTTAATTAAGTTTTTGAATCTTATGATCTCATTATAAATCTTTTTCAAAAGTCTAGAAAGAAGTTCTTATTGTGTTTTTCAATAAGATAATTAGACAAATTTAATATTGTACTAAACCATTGGTAGATTAGGTTATTATTAAAACTGAAAATGATATCTTTTGACATATGAATATCAAGCTACAGAGAGAAAAAAAACGATGAATGGTGGCAAAATACATATCGTATAGTGCCATATGACACTGAATGTAACACATTCATGATCCGCACCATAATACAGGTTTCCGCTAGTATTATATTAAATACAGATAAACTAATCTTTCGAGGGTTGAAATCTTTTTTTCTTTCTTTTTTTCTAAAAATATAATGCTATGCATAAATATCTATGCAAATTATTTTATATGAAGTACTAATGATAACAGTGTAGATTATTGTTGTTGTTGTTTTTGTATTGCTGATTCTTGACCTAGATTAAATGACACGACTTTACACATATGGTTATATCTGAAGAGGAACTATGTTTGACCTTTTCAAGTCGATGTACTAATAATAAATATTTTTTTTTAAAGTTACTGATTAATATACGCGTCATTTTAGCAAAGAGAATTTGTTTTATAGGAAAAAACAACCATGCACATATATCAAATCGGTGAATAACTATTTTGACAGTAAGGTGCTTAAAATATCATTGAAAGAAATTCTCGACCTCAAATAAAATGTTATTTTCATATTTCAACCGCAGTATTGTTTATATATATATATCTATATGTCTTTAATAGTAATGATATTCTAATTTCTTAAGGTCGACATCTTTCAAAAAAAAGTCAATTTTTGTCAGAAATGTCGAAATTAAGATAAATGCATAGGACAGTAGTCTAAGATTTGACCTTTCATATATAATCTGATTTTTCTATTTGCCACCTCATTTCTTCAGAAAATCTTTTTTTTTTTTTATGGTTTCCGTTATATTCGTTTTAAACAATAGAAGTTTTTCAGCAGAAAAAAAGAACGAAAAATCTGTTTGGTTTGTTTTCTATTTAAACTTTCTCTGATCACATATTCCAGAATGTTCAAAAGAACCTCATTGTAATCATTTGCTGTGTTTTTTTTTCTTCCAAAGAGCATGTGAAGCTGCAATATATGACAGAGTCCATTTTCCCTAATTAATTATTATTATTATTATATATAAAAAAGTACCTCCATAAATAGATTGTCATTATTTTAGAGCTTTTCATGATATTTAACTCATTATTCTTTTCCTTCACATCAAAGATAAGAATTAAAAAAAGCACTCTGCTAAACACTACAGCTGATATACTCTTTCAAATAAAAACAATTAAAAAAGCCCCCTTCCCTCACAGAATAGAAGCCCACCCCTCGACATTAGACCTTTCCGGAGAGGGTAGATGTTTACTTTGTAAAAAAAAAATGAACACAGATCAATGAAAAGTGCACGAATATGAATGTTGCTATTAATTACCGAAAAAATTAGTCTTAACACAAGCTTTCTCCCAAACTTTTAGCTTTCGGAAGAAAGGCACTCTTCATAAGCTTCTATTCTGTGAGGGGTAGGGGTTCTATATAATGGGGCTCTACATAGAATGTTTGGTGCGCTATTTTTTATCTTTGTTTGATAAATATTTCCTGAAAACATCATGTCCAAGATCGATATTCAAGGGGGTAGGAACGCTCATATCTTACAATCAGTGTCATCTGGAAAATGTTGATGAATCCATTTATATTTTTCTAATGCAGCTGTATAATCGCCAGTACGACGATAACATGAAGCCACCATTAAATGCCATTTAATTTCTCCTGGTCTAATAAAAGAAAGAAATATTTTTTCTAAAAAAACCATATTTCATTTGGCTTATTATATTACTTGACTAATGCAGCTTGTGCACAAAATTCCACAGCTTTTTCAGGATATTGTGTTTCAATATAATATGATGCAAGCCATTCTAATGTTTTTATATCACATGGATTATGTCGAAAAGCCTTTGTAATTTTTTTATTAATAAGAAATACAATATTTGAAATAAATAAAAATAAAGAATACTTACATCAAAATAATATTGTATAGCATCAGATTTATCTCCTTGTAAATCGATAACTTCACCTATTCTTTGATGTAAATGTCCATCCATTCGATGTGTACTTAAAGCCTGTAAATACCTAAAGAAATTTTTTTATATATTTAAAATAATAAAAACTAAAGTTTTTGTTTTCTTTTTTGTTGTTCTTTAACTAACCAACTTTTTGCATGTTCAACGTCATTTGTACGCTGTAATACTTCAGCCATTAAACAAAAAACTTGTGCATTTGATGGTTGTATTATTGTATATTTATGAAGAAGATCTTTAACACGTTGATATTGATTCAATTTCATTAATGTTAAAACTAAGACAAGAAAAAAATAATTTCTTTGTTTTTTCGTCTTTTAATATCAAAAGAATTTTCAAACATACTAAGATTATGTAGAGCTTCAACACAACCTGCATCAATATTCAAAGCTTCTTCATAATAATATCGAGCTTTATCATAATCATCTTGAGCATAACAACAATTGCCTTTATTAGTTAAAGCTTTTAGATGAAAAAATAAATTCATTAATAGAGTAAAAATATGAAGATTTGCCTTTTACATACAAGCTGGATTAAATTTATCAGTTTTTAAAGCTAAATCGGCATATTTATGTGCATTATTTAAATCTTTTTCCTTAAAAAAAAAAAAAGTGAAAAAAATTTTTTTTTGTTTTGTAATCAAAATTTATTCATACCAGAAAATATAAAAATGATAAATTTGTAGCAGCTAAAATAAATTTTATATATATAAATAAAATGATTTAATTTTCTAATCATTATACAAACCTGCACTTGCTAATTTTGCTTCAGCTTTTTCAAATTCTTTTAATGTCGAAATAGCCTAGAAGAATATGTTTTTTTAAATTAAATAATTTTCTTTTGTTTTTCTAACCTTTGGAAAATTATCTTCACGTAAATAAGCAATAGCTTTTTGAATTTCAAGGCCACTAGCTAATTCCAGATATGTAGAATTTCGTACTTGTTCAATACACCATTCATAACCACCAACAAAATCTCCATCAGAATTATTACCAACAATTTTAGCAGCAGTAACAATAACATGTTCAGCAAAACGTCGTCTAAATAAATGACTTATATTTTAAATTGTAATGAAAAAAAAAAACGAATATTTATAAATTATTTCTCCTTTGATTAAAATATATTCGTATTATAAAACGATTTAAAACAGTAACAAATTTGACAAGCACTTTAACATTTAATAATAGATGTTTTTTTTTCTTCTCTTTTCAAAAGATCTCCAAAAAAAAAGTCAAAAAATCTATTACCGTTTTCGTTCGAATTGTCTTAAACGATCATCTCGTGTAGCTTCTAAAACAAGATTTGCGTGTTTATCTTCTTTATCAACCTAGAACAACAGAAAAAAAAAACTTTAATAAACAAACAAATACGTAGTTATTTGTTTAATTTTACTGATGCTTGATAATCGTCATCAGAACTTAAAAATGGTATTTTAAGTAAATCACTAAATGCTCGACGTGTTTTATCACGTTGTCCTAATGTATGATAACAAAGAAGAAGATTTAAACCACTACGATAATTTGGTCGTTCTTGCATTATTGATTCATATGCTTGTGCTGCTTCAGCATATTGACCCATAAGAATATGTGTAGCAGCTATATTTTCACGAACTTTAAATCTGAAAATAAGAGGAAATTTTTTTTTCGATTAATTATCATTAATTAAATAGTTTGTAGTTTGGTTTTCTTCTTTACTTTAAATCAGCATTTTGTTCAGGTATTTGATCAAGTGCCATACGATACATTTTTAATGCTTTAGTATATTGTTTTGAACGTAAGAAAATATTTCCAATATTAATTCGTCTAAGAATATTAATGATTTGAAAGAATGTGTTTTTCTTTTTCATAAGAGTAATATTTCTACTTACAAACGACTGGGTACAGGTAATAATTTACCTTTTAATATTAAATTATATTGATTCATTGCTTCAGAATTCATACCACATTTAGCTAACATATTAGCACAATGAAGAATGGCCTATATAATAGTTAATAGTTATTTTATATAACCCCATCGTGTCCCCACAAGAGAAAACGTTGAGTCTTCTATTAAGATCAAGCATACGAAGTCATCAGAAGGGCTTAGTTCCTTATTGTGTTCGACTTATTTCCAGAATTATTAATGAAAAATTGTTTTCACAAAAAATCAGAAAGTTTTTAACAAATTCTAAAAGAACAAACTCAATTTCTTGACAAGCGCCGCTCTCCCAATCACCATGATGGATAAGACACTGTTTTGGAAAAGTATAATGTTAGTACGTAGAAGTATTAGGAATAGTGGTGAAGCCAGGATTTTGAGCTAGAGTGCTTAGTTCCTCCTAAGGATCTTTGAATCTTCCTAGCAAGATTCGTGAAGAAAAAAAAATACATATATTAAAAACCTCGCCATGAAGGAGGCGCTGATATTCTCTGCTTCTGTTTTGACTTTGCCACTGATTGGGAAGTACGAAGAAGGATGCTTTTCCCTTCTTGTCTCAAACTCTAAAATATTAAAGGTAATCTTCTATTACGTTCGGCATATCGATCCTGTAAGAGAGTCCTCTATTATAATCATAATTGATTTTTATCTTTTTTTTTACTTATGTAAAACAATACATACAAATCCAGTTAGATTTAAATCTGATTCTCCAAGATTTTGTTCTTCTCGATATCGATTAAGACTTTTTTCATTTCTCACTGCTTCCTCAGATTTTTCGAGTGCCTAAAAAAGAAAAAGAAAAAATGAAAATTAGATAATAAAATACCAAAAAAAAACCAAACAACGCAACGATATTGTTCTTACTAATTTTGTATCATTTTTTTCATATGCTAAACAACTTTCTTCAACAAGATCCAATACAGTTTTTTCCAGTTTTTTTGCTTTATCTTCATTACTTAAATTTAAAAACAAACAACAACAAATCATTTCGCATTTGTTTCTTATATATACGCATACGTTTCCTCTTTTTTTTCAAATTGTGACGGTCCTGATGTTGTTGCCCCAGTACCTATAGCACCAGTCGTAAATCCTGCGCCTTGTACTGCCGTTGTTGGTCGCCGTTGTCCTGTTGCTGTACCAGTTTGAAGACGACGTGATGCCGAACCAGGTGGAGCACCAATAACACCACTAGCTTGTTGAGCTGCACGTGATGCAGTTCCTAATCGACCAGATGATGTACCTGGTGGTGCTGGTACACCAGTAGTTTTCTGTCGACCAAAAATATTTTTTACTCGAGAGAAAAATCCACCCTAGAAAATTCATAATGTATATAAAAAAATAACAAACAATCGAACAAAACTTTACCTTTTGAGCAGCCCCTGCACCAGCTAGACCAGTCTGAGAAAAGAAAAAGAAGTTTTTATAATAAATCAAAAAAAGCAAAAAGAATTACCGGTGGAGCTCGTCGACCATGGCTGGTTTTTAAAACCGCTTGTTGTAAATCAGTATCATATTTTAAACTCTTTAAATGAAAAATATCATAATAAGAAAAACACACATGACAAATAAATTCAACTCACATCAGTATCTAATAATGGATTGTATTCATTAAAACCAGAATAAGAATCAGGTTTATCAGTCATAATTATTAGTCTGAAAAAAAAAGAATATCTAAATATGTTCTTTCTCTAAAGTCTTTGAATTATATTTAAAATTATCATTTCAGAAAAAAGTAAAATTTATATATATATCTAGACAGAGAAATCAGTTTCTTTTTCATTTCGTTATTGTTTAAGGTGCTGAAACTATTGTTCGTTTAGCTTGAAGTTCTATTGTTGAACTTGTTACTTCACGTGGATGTTCACGTCGATATTGTTCAACATCCGTTATTAACTAATCGAAAGAAAGATTATTTTTTATTTTATATGTTAAAAGAAAATTTGTTACTTTTGGTAACCGACGATAATTTTTTTCTTGTAAATATTCTTTAAATGCATCTACACCATGTAATGGAGCAAGACGAGCATTCTTTAAAACAAAACAAAAAAAAAACAAGTAAATTATATTTTATTATAAATCTTTTTTGTTTTACAATTTCTTGTTGCTGTTTTCGTGTTACATCTTCACGTTCAGCTTTAACAACTTTAGGATCACGAAGTTCAACATTTGTTAATGAACGTTGCCAAAGAGGTTTTGGTAAATACCATGCACCATATCGATATTTTTGTGCTTGTGATTCTTGATCATTAATTACAGATGGATTTAAGTTTTTTGATTTAGCAGTAGCTGATCTTTTAGGCTAAATATAGAATAAAGAAAATGATTTCATTTCAAATATTAAAAAAATATGGATTTTGCATTAGTAATCAAACGTTAATAAAAACAAAAAAAAAAAAGACCTATCTTGAATTTCAAAAGTATTGAAATATATGATATAGATTTTATTCAATATGAAATTCAAGATAATGACACATTTGGAATAAGTATGTGAAATGAAAATGATTACTTCATTTACGACTATGAATTATCTCATAATACTTTTGATGAATAACTGCTTGGTAGATAATTCGATCTATTGGGATTAACATCCTAGTAATCCAATAAGAAAATGGTCGTATTTTTTATTATAAGAAAGAATTAAAGAAAAAACAGATGATAATTACATCATCAGCTTTGAATTTTATTATAAATACAACGAGGGAGTAGATACGATCAGTCAAAATAAGTCTAATGAGTTTATAGACACTGAAATGAAATCGGTGCTGGTGCAAATCGATCCATAGGTGACCACTCTATTTTATATACGATGAAACTTTCTTTAGTGGATACTTTGCGATTTAGCGAAGCAATTTTTGCTAGTACTTAATCCGTATATAGTGAACATCGTCATAGTTCTATGGTGAATACTTTTGAAAAGTCCAACGGATATTCACTATTGAGAGGTTATACTGTATTTTCCTACTGCTATCTTATTCTATTCTAATATAATTGCCATATAGTTTCAATTGCATACTGTTGCCTACATTTTCTATGATTAAGTTAGCTTCGTTTTTTGAATCTAGTTCTCTCTGTCTATCGTTAGAAATTAATCAAAACATAAGACTAAAGTTAGTCTATTCATAAAATTCAATTGAAGAAATACTATGTGTAGAACTCCCATTTTATGAAGTAGATACGAATGTGTAGTTCCAGTTCACTGACTTCCAACGGTACTGAATCAGACGAGAACCTCTCCAAGTATCAAGTCGATTTCGAACGACATGATGATCATGTGATCAATAATAGAAAAGTTTAGAATGATTTGGTTTTTCGACTCTTCATTTTCAAGATATCAAAATTTGACTGAGTTTTTCAATAAAAAGCTGTGGTTCTCCTCAGATTATATGGAAAATGAATTTCGAACTTTAAACTGCGTGAACAAAATTCTCAATGAGATTCGTTCATTATACAGGTTGTAACATCCCTAGTATGTCCTATTCTGAGATGTCGAAGATTCGAAATTCCCGCATGTTTGAAAGAAAATTTACGTATCTACAAAGAGAATAATATAGAAAAGCTTCAATTCGCACAATCATCTAATCTTATTAAGAATTTCGTTGGTGCAAAGTTTGAAGTCGAAAGTCGATTTTCCACGTGACTAAAAATTATTGTAGAAAAACCTAGTAAAATTTTGATATGTCAAAAGCGAAGACTATGGCAACCATATCATTCTAAACTTTTCCATTACTCTCTAGCACTTATTAAATGAATATCGTTTCGGTCGAAAAGTCATTTGACATCTTAAAAGGTTTTCTCGTCAGTATAGTTAGTGCACACTGACACCAGCATTCACTGAAGTACTGGAACATACTGCTATAAAAAAGAAAAGTTTTGATAGAGTTAATCTTTTAATATTGCAGCAAATAGAGGACCCACTGGGAAACTGGATCCTCTGTCGATATTTGCATTAATTCTGAACATTCACACAAGTAGATAAACTCAAATTGAGTTCGGTATCTGTACTATTAATAGTATTCAACTTTCTAAAAATTTATTTTTAATATTTTATGATTAGTAGAAACTGCAAAAGGCGCTAGAATCTAAAAATTCTCTTTCATAAAAAAAATATGTTTACAAATATAATCAAAATTACCACTTCTGATAAATTTGTTTTTGTTTTTTCACCTAGAGGAAACATTGTATCCTGTGTACCATCTCGTAATTCAGTTGGAACCTAATTAAAATTCCAAATAATAATAATAAATTAATTAATTAATTCTTTCACTCACTCTTGACATTTCAACAATTTTAATTGGTACACTTAACGATGGTTTTGTATCATAAGCTGTTGAAAATAAATTTCTAACAACACCTGAATCAATATCAGGATTTGCTTCACCACCAAGACTATATAACCAATTACAAAATTGTTCAGAAACATTATGAAGTCGTGCTTCCTATGAGAACGAAAAACAAAAAGAAATTTTTATTAAGTTTAAAAAAAAAATAAAAAGAAAATAACCATAGCCGAAGCTGCTTTTTCATCTGCAGTAGGTCCTTTTGCTTTTTGTTTTTCACGTTGCTTTTCAATAAACCATCGATAAGGATTTTTTTGTTTTGTTTCATATTCTTCAGCATCCCATTGATTACCTGATTCATCATAAACAATACCACTTCGTCCAATTCGTGTTGAATTATTTTTACTATCTGATTCGTCTGGTAATTGATCTTTTGGTTCAATTTGTTCTATTGTTAAGTCATCTGTTAATTCATTGCTTGTTCTATTTTCAAAAAACAAAAAAATAATATTAGAAAAAAAAACAAACAAATTCAATATGAATATCTAACGTTTTTTCGACTTCTTCCGGCATAAGATTCGGAAGACTTTTTTCACTATTACTTGTATCTGGTCGCATCATTCGACCGCTTGGTGATAATGAAATAGTATCTTTATTTTCATCAGTTACTGAAGTTTGTTCTTCACTATCTACCAGTAATAATTCAGCTTCGAGTAATTTCGTTAGTCGTTCATACATCTATAGAATTAAAAAGAAAATAAATAATTACAGATATTAGTTTGATATTCAAATAAATTAATATTTAATACATCAGGTGATAATGTTTGATTAAAATGTTCAAAGAAAGCCATAGGATGATGAAGTATCGTTGATATATAATTATCTATCATTTGACGTCGTTTTTCAGCTGCTGGAATTTCACGACTATAATAAAGTTGATGTTCTTTAAGGCGAGTTTGTGCATTTGAGGCTGTTGCTTTAATACGACGATTTTCCGAGATTAATACTGGTCCGGGACCTTTATCTGGCTATTAATAAGACAAACGAGAAATTATAATGATTGCATTTTTTTTTGTTGAGACAAAAAATTTACTTGTAAAATAATATCTTCATGTGATGGCGGTAATCCATCACGAAAATCATCAAGACCATCTTTAACAAATTTCCAATTTTTAGTATTTATATTACATGGATATTTCATTTTAAGTCTTTCACGATACCTATTAAATAGATAGAAAAAGATAAATGAGAAATTGCATTTTTCTAGTAAATACAATGCGACAATTAAGAAGAACATAAGCAGCTATTTATATAGTTTTTCTCACTTCAAAGAAAAATCTTTTCCATTTATAGACCTATGTTTATTTTTTAAATTTAAAATAAAGATTCAAATGAAATAATAATAATAAAAATATATGTATACCATGGCTGGAATTTTGGTGATCGACGTCGATCATCGATTGTTGGTAAAAGAACGTATTTAAGATCGTTACTCATGATATACCTGATTGAGATAAAATAAACGCATTTGATCAATTATCCATTGAGTCATACACTTTAAGTTATTGCTAAGGCAACGAGATAGTTCGTTTTCAGAAAGAGAATTTTGAAACGAATAAAATGGTTTTATTTTTTATTTAAAACACAGAAATATATTTTTTTTAAATAAAATAAAATTAGAGAAAAAAAATATCTGAATAGAGGGCGATAGAGGTCAATTTGTATGAGCAGCCGATAGTTACTAACGAAGGAACTATCCGAATTGATACATACTGTTTAAACTTATGTTAGATCTACAAGGAGACCTTGTTTCGGCACAGGTTTACATACAACCCGAGCAATCAAAAAACAAAATTTCGATGTGAGATTTTGTCCAGATAGAAGTCGAATGGCCCATAAAATGCCCTAAAAATTTCAGCCGAAAAGAATATTCTTTTTTCAAAAATACCAAATTTTCAAAAAATAATTGCTTATTACAAGTATGATACAAACATCGTTTCAATTCCGTTACTGTATTTCCCAGTTGATACCTCGCAATAGGTCGAAAATTTAGTAAAAACATCATAGCTCAATTCCAAAGATTTATAGAGACAAGTCCTTTTAGTTTTTTTTCTAATCTTAACTAGACTCTAATGAACCCAATATGAGCTAAAACGGCTAGTATTAGTTTAGATGATTCCCTCATAGACGCTTTTAGAATGTAGTTTTATTCAATTAGAGATGCCCTGATGTTAACAAGTGCTTTATTTTTACTTTCAACCATTTCATACACCTTTTATATCTATTTCATGACACTGCAGGGTGTCAAAAAAGTCGTCCAAAAAATAAAACTTGAATAACTCTTCAGGAGTTCAACTGATTTACATTTCTTTCATCATTTGATCTTATTCATTAAGATTGTGAAACAAAAGCTCTCCTTATCTGAATGTTTCTTTATCAAACTGGTATTGTTGTAGATCGAACAAATTCCGAACGTTTTACAGCAATGACACAAGAAAAAAAACCGTTGAAATTTCTATTAAAATCATAATAAGAATCGACAACTAAAATAAAATGATTTTGCAGAAAAGCCTATGCAATGTCTTGTTTTTGTAACAGTGAGCTTAAATTATATTATCCGAAACAAAACTTTAAAAATACATGAAATCAAATAATATAAAGCTTACGAATATCTCTTAATTTGTTCGAAAGTTTTTCTCATTTTTTCAATGTTTTCGAACACTCTGTATATTAATCTATTTTCAAATAATCTTTTAAATAAAATAAAATTTAAGATTATCTTAATTAATAATAGAGAAAAAAGAATTCAAAGCTTTATTTAATTGAAATGACCTTAAATAAGATTGTTGAACTACTAATATAAAAATAGAAACTAACTCCATAAGTATTAACTATACTTTTTAGATTCATTTAATTGACAAATCGGAAGTTCATTCAAGTTGTATTATTTTGTTTTTACTCTATGAATTTTCTTTTCACGTCTTAATTATTTTCTATAAATAAAAATATTCTTCGAACTATACAATTGTTCCTTTGTAATATATTAATTATTATTACTTATATGTTTTTTACTATATTTAGACACAATTTGCTTTTACAAGAAAGCAACAAAAATGTTTACTAATTGCATCCATTGACATTTGGTATAAATAAACTGACAAAAGGCTGATGTCAATAAAATCATTCAAATTTGTCTTTATTCTATTGACAAGAAACATATTATATTTAAAGACAAATTCATAGCTTTTATTCAATATTGAATAATCGAAGTGTCATAAAAGTTAATTTTCAATTAATGATTTTTTATTAAATTTGTAAATTATTTTCTAAACAATTTAAACATGTGTAAATATAAAGCTTAAGAATTCTTTCATAATAACAATAGAAATCAATTATTAAAATGTACATATTCAAATTCAAGATCTATATATTCATTTGCATACTTATTGAATAAAGTATAGATTCAAGGAAGCGAAAAAAAAAAAGCTCTCTTCATATAAAATATAATCGAAATTTAAATAAGAATTGTATAACTATAAAAAAAAAGTATCTTTTCTTCTAAGTTTTTTTTTCTTTCGACATTTTAATCTAAATACCGATAAAAAAATCATTTCAATGGCTAACAAGCAATTTATAAGTTAATTTATGTCAACTCCGACATTTTTCTTTCTTCTTTATTTATTAATTATAGATATTATCTTTCTTTCTCTATCTATTTGCGCTTTTCAGTTATCAACAAAACATCAAAAAAATATAAACAAGGTTATTGATGTATCTCTAACGTACAGAATAATCATACTTTGATTAACTATTATTAACATTTTCAAAAAAACATTTACTTGATAAAAATTTTATTCATTTGTTTTTTTTTCTTCTATAGAAGTTTTAAAGAAAAAAAAAAATTGTTGTTTTTTTTATAGCAAAATGAAAAGAAACAGACGCAAATGTAGATAAACAGCAAAACTTGAATAAAAGACAGAAAAAAGAAAGAAGAATTTTGAACAAAAAGAAAACAAACGATTACGAATAATGAACATAAGAGATATATTGTGCACCGGGCAATCGCATCCACACACGCGCACATATGACAATTAGAAAACAGCGATTAATAGAATGTGTAAAACCAATCATACATACAAATGTACATTGAAAGAAAAAACGAAGCAAAAAACAGAGGGTGTCGAACATCCAATTTAGACAAATATTCATAAAAAAAAACTAATAAATGAGATTCACTGTAATTTCTTTTTCTTTCCTAAAATAATAATAAATCAACTGTCAACACACTTGACCGGACAATGAGAGAATACTGTTTGTAATACTGTCTGATATTTTCTGTTGTTTTATATTAAATTACGTTAAATCACATAAATTAATCAGCAAAAATAAGCGCCTTTTGAGAATTGTCACTACCATCTGTACTACATTCATCATCATCAACAACTTCATCATCATCATCTTCTTTTATACCTACATGATAATAATTATAGTTATTATTAAGAAAAAAAAAGAACAACAAACAAAATATTTTTACTTAGATAATGATTTCCATCAGGTGATAATGCATCATCAAATGGACTATGTTTTCGATTTTTTAGCATTTGTTTGTACTCCGACCTATTTAAAAGAAAAAAGTAAAAAGATACATTCAATATTTTAACTATTTATCGAGCCGATGATAAGATCAAAACACTTACCAACGCATTTTCTTACCGTCGATGACACATGTTCGTTTCGGTCGCGGTCTAATAAAATAAAAATAAAATAATTTAAATTAGAAAAAAAAAAACACTTAAGTTTAAATTTTAATATACCTATATCGATAATCAGGATATTTTTCCATGTGAACTTTGCTTAAACGTGATTGTTCTTCATAGTATGGTTGTTTTTCTTCATTACTCATTGCTTTCCATCGAGCACCTAAGATTTTACTTATACTTGAATTATGCATATCAGGACATGCTTTTAAGATTTTTCGTCGTTCTTCACGTGCCCAAACCATAAATGCATTCATTGGTCGTTTTATATGATCATTAGATAATGTTGATGATGAAGATGTTGCACTTGTTAGATTCGTTTCATTATTTCCATTCGTATTTGTTAAAATTGATAAACTATTTGATGATGAATGATGATGATGATGAACATGATTTCGTTCCTTTCGATTTGTTGATATGTGACGAGCTATAAAAGAGAACTTTATCAATGTAATTGAATTGTTTAATATATGACAGATTTTTTTGTATGATGGATATGAAATTTAGTTCAATAAAAATCTCATTAATTTGTTCTTCTTCCTTTCAAATCCAACAATTGAATTTAAATTCTTCGACAAAGAACATCGAAAAATATTTTAATAACAATTGTCATTCGATTTGACAGTCAATTAAACAAAACAGTTCATTAACATAACTTATTGATTCAGTGTATATATTTTTTTTTCTTTTTCGTTTCTTTTCCATTGTATATTGGATATTTTATCTGAACAAATAGTAGATGATTATATCGATTGATATAAGTAAAATATTCAATTTGTTTTATCAATCTCTTTCAAATCAAGGTTTTTATATTAAATATTCATTAACGCGGTTAACAAGGTTTTTATATTTAATTAAAAACAGATTCGATGTTCGAACGATTCAACCATAGATAGATATGTATATATGTATAAAAAAAATTATATTTACTCGTCTTAGTATCCATTAAAAAGAAAAAAAGATACAAAATGATAAGTAGCGAAAGTATCAAGTCTGTTTATGTGAACACTATTCTCATCATCATTATGAGTGCATATCACAGCCTTGTATCTTTTCTTCTCTATTAACGACCCTTTCTTTCTCTTTCTTTCTTTCTTTCTTGTTCGTTCGTTTTTCATTTAGAAATGTGTATAATCAACTAGTGTCTTTTTTTCTTTTCTTTCGTTGTTTTTGTTATATATTTCTTTTTTTCGTCGTATCATTACCAATCGACTCAATCGGAATGTGATTTGGTTGGACGATTTACGTTTCTTTTTTTCAATGATGGAAGACTCTTTCTTTAATATACAAATACTCTCGACTCACCTAATGACGAGTCTTTGTCAATAGACGAATCGCGATAATGATGACTGTTGCTGTTGTTGTTGTTGTTGCTATTATGATGGCTATTATTATTCATATTTACTGTTTCGTGTGATGATGTTGGTAAATTTGAATGATGTGAGAGATGATTGGATGCCGGTGGAAAAGTACACATATTTAGACCTAATCAAAAAGAAATAAAATCATAAGAATAAATTTAAGTATGTTTGTTAATTTACCAGCAACAAATGGAGATGGTAATGAACATCGTGAAGAACCATTTTCCCCATTTTTCATATTCTTAAGATAAATATAAAGAAAAGAAAATTAATACTGATAATAATAACAGAACTTTAGTTTATACATACTAATGAATCATTCATTACTGATCCAACTGATAATTTTAAATAATTTTGTATTTGAGTCATATTAGGAACTTAATGAAAAGTTTAGAAAAGATTTAAAAAACGTTTTTTTTTTTCAGAATAAAAAAGAAACCTTACCTGAAAATGGAGAAAAAAAAGGTTTCTCATAAAAAAGTGCTTGTGAAGGAAAAAGTGTTGATGCTAATGATAAAGTTGGATTCGATGGTGATGGTGAACTGACTGTTGTTGTACTTGGACTCATATCATCACTATTTGTTGATGCTAAACGTGTTTGATGTCTTATTTTTGGTTTTGATAAATTTAATGGAATTGTATCATCATTATAAATATTTCTTAATGAAGAATTTTTCTCATTATTATTATTATTATTATTATTATAAGTGGTAGTCGAAGTATTTGTTTCATTTGTATTTATTCTTTCACGTAAATTTTGTAAACTATTAATGAGACAATCAATAGTTGATATTAAATTTTCATCATTATTATCAAATTGTTTTTCTTCTAATAATGAACGTATTAAATTAAATATCATTGTTGCATTTGTTTTTGTTGTTGATGTTGTATGAGTTGGTTTTGTAGGTAATTGTGGAATATCTTTTTCAATTTTTATATTATTATTTGATATTATTGTTGTTGATGACGATGATGGTATTGGTGGTCGAGATATTTTTGATGATGGAATATTTTTACGACGTTTTCGTTGTGGTTGAGTTAAATCAGATGATGTTTCTTTTATTTCTGAATGAGATTCATTTGAAGATATTATACTAGTTGAATATTTTTCATTAGTTTTAATTGTATTATTATTAGTTGTAATATTATTATTGTTATTTGTTGGTGATGTATATTTGCTTGTTTCATTGTTATGAATATTTGATTCAAAATGATCACCATGTGATTCTTGAGTATTTGATAAAGGTGAACTATTACTGGTATTGACATCTGTCAAAATTAATCGGTTGCTTTTTTATATCATTAGGAATGAAAAACAACAAAAGACAAATACTATTATAGATACTTACAATCAGTATGATCATTGGATGGTGAGTTATGGCTATAGAAAATATTATTTGATGATACTCGATGAAGAAGTGGTTCTGTTTTAATATATTTTGTTGTTGTTATAGATGATGTTGTCGTTGATCCATCTTCGGTACATAATGATGCTGTTGACAGAGATGTATCAAATTGATCGAAATCGCACTTTCGTTTAAGCGACATTAATTAGAATAATAATCTATAAAAATAAAATTAAAAAACAAATTTTTTTTTGACTGTCTTCCCATAAGACGATTAAATTGTGATAAACGAGTTTACTTATGATATCATGTTTGTGTCTATTCAAGTCAACCGTCACACCAACTATTAACTGACAAAAACGACAACAACAAGAATAGAATAGATAGACAATGAGAGAGAGAGAGAGAAAAGAAAAGACAATAGCTGCCTCATCAAATCAAGTTCATTGATCAAACTCAACTAGCAAAAAAAGCGTGTCGATAGCAGCGGTAGCTCAAATCGTATATAAAGAAAGACACGCACGCGTATACACAAAAGAAAACAGAGGCATCTGCTCGCGTTCCATTCATATAGTCTTTTTCTCTTGGACGCATATTCAACGACAAGAGTAAGAAACAAAAGAACAATGGAAAACGAGTAGAGAGACAGACCAACTAGTGAAAAAATCTCTTTTACTCTTTTCTCTTTTGCTCAATGTTAATCGCGCATTCAAGTGTCATGTTGATCTTCACTGACGACAACAACCACGATAATGCTACCATCAATGCATCGATGCAAAGCCACACCAATAGTTACCATGTATAATTTATATATATATATATATATGTGTGTGTATTTATATATATTCATCTACATTTATATCAATTGATGAATGAAAATGAATGAAGCCTTACTGTTGCTCTCTTTTCTTTTTCTTCTCAATTGAAATCGATAGATTTGAAGGTAAAGATTTGTTCGATTGCTCGGACGGGTAATTTATAATATGTGAGAACCGCTTTTATTAATATAAAAAAAGAGTAGAAGAAAAGAGAAAAATCTTATGTGTGTTCGTTTTGTCTCTGTTTCCTCTTAACTCATGTTAAAGAGAATAAGTAGAAAAAGAAGACGAAGAAAAAGTGGCATTGCACTAGGTTATTATACTAAGCAAGGATCAGTCTGTTGAAAACAGAAGACACAATAAAAATGACGATATATATATTCATATATATATATATATATATCGTGTGTATGAATATAGAATAATTTAATATGATTATAGACATGTTAAAGAACGTCCACAAACAACAATCAAAGGTAAAATAACGAAGCAAGTAGAAAAGAAAGCGATCAAATATCTACATTGAATATATAAAAATTGAATCATCATCATCATCATCAACATCATCAACATCATCCGCGTTGTATATGAAGATATATATGCTTGCGCTTTCATGATTGGCCTTGATTGTACGATATACAGGCATAATTGTGAAACGATTTCAATCTTTTCTCTCTCTCGCTAATTACCTGTGTCCACCGATATAGTTGACAGGAAAAAAAAAAGTCGACTTAGGACTATTATTGATCTTCTTCTTTCTCCTTTTCCTCTCTTCGAGTTGCTTGACACAATATGAGGCTGATCAAGTGAAACAAATCTAGTCAAGCGAGTAAAGAAAGAGAGAAATGAGAGAGAGGAAGAGAGAGAGAGAGAGAGACGTACAAAAAAATCTTCACACTTCTAATGCACACTTTTATTGAATATATATATTGCATTGCATGCAAGTGTTTGGCGTGTGCGCATACACAACCGTAAGAATAACATTCTGTACGCTTTAATACTCGTTTGGCTTATATATATATTTTATATATGGTACTGACAATGACTATTGATTATTTACATGGGAAGTGAAACCTTATGTGAACAACACCATTCGCCAAAGGATAGAAAAAAAAAAAGAAGAAAGACTAAAAATAATAATAATAATAATAATAAAGTTGTTGCAATTATATGTAGGTGTATGAGAAAGAAAAGAGAAGAGAACGAGTAAAGAAACAGAACAAACGATCGAACACGATAAGTAATATGTATGTGTGTATGTCGTGTCTTTTAGATATTCAATAAACAAGAGCCTTTTTTTTCTTCTCTCTATTCATTACCTGTATGTCTATCTGTGAGAATGACAAGGCAACAGGGGTAGAAGCTAATGGAGTGTGAAAGCCGTCCAAGACGGATGAAAAATGTCACATTTTCTTATTTCGTCGTTTAAACGGCGGATGTTTATCGCGCGCAAGACACTCTTCTTTCTTATAGCACCATACCCGGATTTTAGTTTCAGTCACATAATTGATATTGTCACACACACACACATACAACCACAACCCATTGTTTTTATGACTAGTAATAGTATAGTAATAGTTATATGTTACTGTTTTTCTTTTATATTTTTGATTGATGAAATTTGTTCTTCTCGTTCTGCCGCTAATGATATGTTCAAACATGTGTATATATATATACATATATTTAGAACAAAAAAAAACAGAGGGCTAAACATAAGTAACAATTAGACATAAATATATATATATATACTATTTAATATGAACATCTCGATTCGTTAATACATAAATCCTTCCAACAAGATGACGAAACTATAGTTGCTTACCGTGTTATACAACGCTTTTTGTATTTGTTTTTTGCCTAGTAAAATAAATGGATGATTGAATATTATATACGAGTGTCCGTTTGTTATTGTCGCTGAGAAATAATTTTGCTTTTTTTTTTCTGTTTCTTACGCTTTACTTTTGTTGTTGTTGTTGCTGTACGAATCGAATGTCAATCGAGTGCACAAAGAAAAACTATTACCACTAATAGTAGTTATGCATGTAGAAGTGATGGTGGATACACCTAGGTACTGTGATTATGTGTATGTGAGTAGTCGTTTTTTCCCTCTCTCCTTTCTTTTCTATTAAGAATCTATTGTTCGGAGTGTGTGTCGAGCGCGCAATACGACGATGACGCGCAAGACTTGTTCTTTACCGCTGCTGACACAATACACTCTTCTCTTTTTCTCTCTGTCTGTCTTCCCTTTTTACGCTCGACTTCACATCATCTATATTCAATTGCACCGTAGTGTATGCATATACACATACCGAACACAATGCACATCATCGCTGCTCTATGCACAATATGCATACAAACTGATTTTGTACATAAAACATACTCATGATTGATAAACTGCACTACTCACTCATTCTTTCATTCGTACACATACATATAAAATCTAGCATTCAAGTAAAAATCGCCTGACAGACTATGATAATGCGGCTCATATTGTTTCTTTCATCTTCTTTTCAAGTTGAAGAAAGATACCTTATTCTTCTTCTTTTTTTCTTCTTCTTTTTTTTTTTTCTTTTTCCGACTTGGCATAACACGAACAATAGAAAAGACAACGATCTTCTCTTCATCCGTCTGTCGAGCAATGCCATTATTAAATCTCTCTTGTCATCAGGTGTCATGGAGAGAAATATAAAGAGATAGAGAAAGAGAGAGAGAGCAAAAGAAGAAAAGTAATTTTTACTAAAAAAAGACAGCCGGAATAAACAGCCGTCACCAACATTGTTACCGATTTTATTTATTCGTTACAATGAATAGACAACATATGTGCATTTTTCGAGTATATGCAACAATCACTTTTAATCGATCTTCACTACCCGCTAATTTGTACATCACTGTTTCTCCTTGTTTCGTTTTTTAACTGATCAATAGTGAGTGTAAAAATTTGACAACCTCAAGGATGTACACATGGATAAAAATATGTCAATCGTCAAATAACTTCTAATAAATAAGAAAGAGAATCAACATACCTGCCTTCTTGTCACAGTAACAGATCTTCTATTATTACCATCAACATCACTGATTTTCTTCTCTCTCTCTCTCTTTCTCTCTACTAATGGTAGTATTCATTCGGCGCATCTTCTTTCTTCTTCATCGTCTTTTTCTTCTTCTTCGTTTCCTCTTTTCTTACATATATATTTTTTTTTTGAATAATGCGTGCATGCAACAAAAACCTCACAGGTTTTCTCTCTCTTCTCACTCGCCTTCTTGTTCCATTGTCAATTGTCCAACATCATGTCATTATCCGCTGAGTTGAAGACAGACGTGCACACGCGTGCTGTGCCATAACATAGGGAGCACCCATTGTTTCGCTTCTCGTCATCGTCTAATATTTAATTTTTTTTTTCTTCTTTCTTGTCGCTTGCCTTCCACTCAAAGAAATTCAATAATAAACATGGCCAAAGTAAGAAAGAAAGCAAAAGAGAGGACAAAGCGAAAATGACGATGATGTTGTTGTTGTTATATTTTCAAGTAAAAGAAAGATTATGTATGTCTATAAGAATTTTAATTCAACTCTTATGATATAAAGAAGACAAACTTTCTTTTGTTTTAAAAGAGAAAAAAAGAGCTATTATTACTTTTTATGTTAAACATTCGAAAGAAAAAAAAACGAAATACTTCTACAAAAAAGGCTTAGTTATTTTACCTGTCATGAAATATGGACAATAAAATAAAATAAAAAAAAAGAGATTGTATATAACACCATGAATAAAGCGAGATAAATTCTTAAGAATAAAAAGGTGGTAGAAAAATTATAGACACATAAGTAGATGTGACAATATTGGTATGTGTGTGTGTATGTGTACTTGCAGTATATATATATATATATATGCGCGTTTTGAAAAGATTTTCAACGACAATAGAGCACACATACGAGTAAGAGAAAAAAAGAAGGAATAAAAGAGAGAAGAAAGAAGAAGAAGAAGGAGGTACGCAATTGTACAATATCGTGTGTGTATGCCGAAGGTGGCATGTATGCATTGTCCCTTGTTAGAAGAATGAATGAATGAATGAATGAATGAATGAATGAATTGTACGAATGAATGGAACTGCTCGTTATGCATTACGATCTCAAGGCAAACGAATGTGCACAAACGAATAATTGAGAAAGAGCGAATAAGCGATTATAAACACTAGCTCGAAGCGGTTTTCAGAACAAACAGGCACAGACTACCGTTACAATAATCCTATTGGAATGGTATTGTATTCTAACCTCTTCTCAAACATACACATCAGAACGCCTGCTGTTGATGACATAGTGCTAATTTTTTTCTTTGCCTGGTTGATTGTAGCTGGCAATGATATGAATACTTTCACCCGTTTACACAAG